TCAATTGCAACCAGCAATCCGTCACAACAGAGAACAAAGTTAGCTGGCTTCTCAAAAGAGGAAGATGAAATTGTCATTAAAAAGTCACAAGTCTGCAGAATTGATTCAAATGATAGCAACAACTCAGAGGAAAAGGTAATATTGGAACCTTATTCTGACGTTTTATGCTCTGAGGAGTGTCAGACGAAAAAGCTTCTAGCCAATATGTTGTAAAATGTTTGCTTTTTTCAAAGCCATTTCAAGTTCGATTTTTTTTCTTTACGAAAAAACAGCATTAAGCGTTTGGACAACCTTTTTCAAGTCTGACAACCGACATTAAAATCACCATAAGCAATCATCAGTGCTTGACAGACAAATGACACCCAATTTATGGGGGTTTGGTCTTCTGTTTCTCAGAAACATCCTCTCAAATCAAACACTCAATCAACATGCAAATTCGTAACCTACACCCAAAACTACATTAGAAAAATTTGTGTCGAAAATTCTCCGCTCGCCCGCTCGGGTGGCAATACCCCTCTCCAGCCTCTGAACTAAAAACGCTAAACAAATTCGCTCGAGTGCGCAGGCGCACGCTCGTTGGAGCATCCGCGCCGCGGGCCTTGCACACAAGTTAAAGATGGCGGACGAAGGTGACAGTTTATCAAATGCTGAGCTACGTGAGCAGCTGATGTATTATGGTGTTAAGCACGGACCTATAACCGCAACAACTAAAGCATTATTGCTGAAAAAGCTAAATGAAGCAAAGTCAGGTGGCCGTAGATCGTCTCCCAAAGTAGACAAGGTGAAAAAGCGCAGGTCAATTGCAACCAGCAATCCGTCACAACAGAGAACAAAGTTAGCTGGCTTCTCAAAAGAGGAAGATGAAATTGTCATTAAAAAGTCACAAGTCTGCAGAATTGATTCAAATGATAGCAACAACTCAGAGGAAAAGGTAACCGTTACAAGAAGGAGAAACAGCTTTGATTTAGAGGAAGAACACGACATAGTGCAAAAGAGGAAAACGAAAACAGATCAGAGACAAAGCCCTGCAAGCTCATCTAGCTCTAATTCGACTATTGGAAATGCGTCATTGACAGCAAGATTGCAAGGGAAGCCTAAGGGGCAGTATCAAGCTGCTAGAGACCAAACTGATAGTATAGCTGAGGTATTCCTTCACTATTGACAAGGAAAACTTAGCCTTAACATTATTTAGAAGCGTCTTTTCAAGACAATCTTTTATGCACTTTATGTCCAATAGACTGGACGTAAGAATGGTGTAGGTTTTTGTCACTTTTTTTAAATGAAACATTTCCATAGGTTTCAGTATTTTTGAGATGACATGACAAAATCATGGGCAACTTGGAGTAAAAAAAATTGTATTAGACTACTGAAATTGGGGTATAAAAACCCCTAACTCAAGGTCAAAAAACTACTTAACAGAGAGGTAGCTTACTTCTTCTAATTCATAGGGATAGACAAAAAGGTACTATCAATATAGGGTTTGGAATAGCCTTTGGCAATACCATGCCTTACAAAATTTTTTAAACACCAATCCACCCCCCCTCCCCCCAGTTGCTCATATCCCTTTTGAAAGTGTTCTTCACAAAGTTAAAATTTAGTTATTAGGATAAATATTCCAACTAGTTTTAGATAAATGATGGCTCCTTTGATGGCATGATCAAAATTCCAACAGAGTCTAAAATCACCAGGCTAGATGATTTTGTGACTGTTTCTGCTTAGATACATTGTCTAGATTTTATCAATCAAATTGTCTAACCAAAGACATGGCTATCAAAAGTAGACATGGAAACTCCAAGGGGTCATTGAAATGGTTCAAGATAGCAAATGATCAAGTTTTCAAAGAAGTTTTTATATGAAAGTATCTGGAAAGGGGATGCTATATCAGTTTTCCCTTTGTGAATGTTTGAGATATCGAGAGTTTACTAGAGTTACCTTTTTACAAATCAAGACACATTAATTTCCACTAATGTGTTTCTCTAAGGGGAGGCTCTGTCCACCTACTTGTCAGCTGACAATGGCCATCAGGGTATTAAAATGAAAAGACCAATACCTTCCTGCTGCTTATACATTCTTTTACTATATCTAAACCAAGGAAATTTACATCATGCAGGCCACAACAGACAAAGAAAATTGGGGGCAACAGCAGTAGATTTTGAAGGCTATACAAGGGCCAAGGCTGTTGAATGCAGCATGGATTAAAAAATGCACATTTCAATAAGGATAAGGAAAGCTTACATTGAATGAACTGAACTTAAGCAAGTGGCTTGGCTTTTTGAAAAGCTGGCTGCTTAAAAAAAAATATTATGAACAAGTGACAACATACAGATACTCAAAAGAAAAAGCTATTTTAGATAACTGAGGTCCCCTTTCTTTGAAAATCAAAATGATATTTGACTTATAACCGGCGTAAGCTGCCTGGCTGGAAAAATAACACTTTAGCTATTTGAAAAGCTTTTATTTTATTTTCTTTTTATAGCTCTTTTATGAAATCTGTGCTACTTTCTATATACAACAGGAATCAACCAAAGAAGACAATATTGATAATGGACGAGATGATGAAGAACTGGAGTTGGCATTTGCATCCAACAACAACCTCATGAAGAGTTGGAGAGGCCCAGTATTTATGATATTTGTAATTGTCTTGCTAATATGTCTTGTTGGATCATATGCAAGCTTGTGGAGCAACAGAATGTCAGAATGGCCTGCTCTTCCAGGTACTCCACCTACCACTTTTCTGATCTTTAGCAGATCCAGGTTTTTATCCAACTTTCTGCTGGTTGTAGTTACAATTGAGATTTGTTTGCTTTGATTTTTATCCTTTTTTTCTCAAGTACCCAGTATTGTTTAACAGACTTGATGCTATATTTTTTGTACTATAAACAAATAGAAAAAGGCAAACTGATTCTGCACATTATTGTTTATATTTATTAACATCATGGTTATTATTTTTTAGAAATAAAAGATGGATCAACATTTGGAAAGGTTTGTTAATAGTGTTGCTATTTTTTCCAATGTAAGCAGTTTTTTATTTTGTTCTGTTAACTTGTTTGGAACAACCAAAGTCAGATTTGGTTTATGTTCTACTCCAACCAGTGAAGGCAGGCCTTCCTGGGATAAACTAGCACAAGTGTGGCATTTGGCACCCCTAAGCTGTTTTAGGTGTGTGATGGATTGCTATTAGTGTTTTGTCTTATTTCTACAAAGGTTTACATACATAGTATATGGAGCCTTAAAAACCGGCATTCTTAAGTCATTTTTTCAGTTTTCACACAACTTTAACAATGAATATCTCTGGTGGCAAAATGATAAAGGAAGGGAAAAGATATTGCCAGAGATCTTTACTGATTTTGATGCTGAAAGTGTTTTAGATGCAGTTACCACCAATCCCTCTTGCTACCAACCATGATGGCAGTCTTCATGAAACCCTTGAAAAAAGTTACAATTTTGACCCCAACTTTCAATCGTGTCTCATCAAAAGATATATGAAAACAGTTTTGAAAATGGCATGATTTGAAAAGGGCACAATTTGAAAACGGCACTAATCATTTCAGCAAAGACGCTTGAAACAGAACAATTCTATTGTAGATTTCCCTCTCTTTGAATCCAAAGCGCATTGATTTTCGAAATAACAATCTTTTATAAGAACTTAAACCCAGTACAGTAAAAAAAAGTTTCTTGTTGTTTTGTTACCTTATTAGTTTCCAGCGCTTTGGTTAAAAACAAACGCATGATTACAACAATAGGCATGTGATTAAACGCACGCCTTGGTGTGGGAGGCGTGTACCAGCGCATGCAAGTGTGATTGCACGCCTTTTCTGGGAGGGCCTGGAAGGCAACTTGACCATATGAATTTCTCACAGTCATGATACTATTTGCAGAAGTAAACTTCATAATAGTTGAAAATAGCGCAAGCAATTGCAAGGGGTTGAAAACCTTGATGAAAGAGCCTTACATTTACCCCTAGACTTTGGGTCATAATTTGACCACCAGCTAATGATGTCTAGATCTACTAATGTCAAAATTCATTCAATTATAAAACACTAAAACCAAATAAAACCTTGAATAATTTAACAACAGTGTATTTGAAAAAAAATAAACTTGTGTAAACTTTGAGTAACAACTAGCAGGCATTTCATCCAACAAAAATATCCCCATCATCTAACTCACTCAATATCCCCTCTCACTTCCTTACACAATGTTGAATTCTGCCTTCAAATGCTGGAAATGGAAACAGCATATCAGATGTTTAGCAAGATATATCTGCCTAGTATTAGAAACAAAAGCTTTAGTTTACTAAATGTTTGCTTTTTTCAAAGCCATTTTCAAGTTTTGTACCACCAAAAGATTGTTTACAAGATATGTCTATTGGAATTGGCAAATAAAGGGAAAAATTTGAATTTATTAAAGGGGAACTGAAGTGAAAAACGATTTTTTACCACTGATAAAGGTTCCTGTGCTGATTCCAAAACCGTTTGAATTTTTTTAATATGTTATGTAGTTTTTAAGTTATTAAGTTTTTAAAGTCGAAATTTGCCCTCATCGATGGCGGAGCGAGAACGCGGTCAGACCAATGTGTCATGTGACCTGGTGACGTAAAGTGGTGGACACAAAGATATGTTTTGATGTAATGTAGTAGTGAGTTTGATAAGGTTCATGACAGGTAACAATCGTGAAAATTGTGATAAAAGCATGAAACTTGGTGAAAATACAAAATTTGATATGCGTAACAAGATAGAATATAGACCTATCTTGGGAATAAAACCCTTGTGCTATTTTTAGCCCTTGTACTATTATGTGCTACTTAGAATACGTTGGTATGGTCAATCTATTTCTGCTAACTATACAGCCATAAAACTTGGCAAACCCACCCAATTTGACTCGCTGAAAAAGATAAAAATGGTCCCCACCCTCAGAACTAACCCTTGTTCTATTTTTAGACTGGGTACTTGTGCCCAGTACTCAGAATACATTAGTATGTTAACTATACAGTCATGAAACTATACACTCAGAGGACATAACTATGGTTTCTGTTAGCTGTAAAGCCACGAAACTTACCGAACCTACACAGTTCAATTTGCTGAAAAAGACAAAAGTAGTCCCCCACCTCAGAAATACCCCTTTAAACATGATTTATCATGCTTTGTCTACAGAACATAATATCAAAGCATTTTCCGATATAACTCCAGGCATAAAAAACAATTCATATCAGGATGTACATAAAGGAGGAGGATTTAAAGCACAATCATTAAATGATGTATATGTTTCCAAGTTTATTAAAAGACCTTATCTTAACAAAAGATATGTCAGAGATTTTATCTCATAACTGTTCTCTATGAAAAATGTTGAGTTGAAGCAAATTTCAGAAAAATAGAACCATTGGGCACCAAAAAACTTCATTCTCAAAATTTGAAAACAGTGTATCTAAACAACAGGCAGTGACAGAATACATTAAAAGAACATTGTACCCTGAAGGTAAAACATTTTCTTCTGATTATTTATAAAAAATGTTACCAAGCAGATGGTACAGGACCATTATTGTAAGAGAAAAACTTGATCAAATCCAAACTATTCTACACATTTTGATGTGAGTGAAATATCTTGAAAAATACACCTTAGGAATCTTAAAAATATCAAGCCTTGCTCAATCCCCCCCCCCCCCCCC